ACTCTGCAAAATTAAAGGGGGTGAAGTAAATTTACCCAATAATTCAAATATGGTAAATTTGAATTTATGCATTATATGATTGGTGTCTATTATGCATGGTGTTTGGTACTTGGCCATCAACCTTAGGATTTTTTTATTTTATGGATTTGTATTTTAAAATATGACCTACGTGTCCTACCTCTCTCCAATCTCTCAATGTAATTCTCTTCTCATCTAAATCCACTCGAATGTAACTCGAGTTTTCTATGTATTTAAATGTAAAGTAGAATAGGCAAAGGCATGACAAATCCCAAGTTTGTTTGAGTGTCTTATTTGTAGAAGCATGCTAAGGTTGAATGCCAAACAATAACATGTTAAATAAGATGATAAAATGGTGAGAACATTAAAGCATGAACCGCTCATAAAAGATATTAAGTCAAAAATAAATCAAGCTTTCCATCCCATGGGATTAATCAAACCATCGTTCATCGTAGTCTCACCTGCCCATAAGGAGGCACTTCTAACTTTGGGAGGTTAATCATCATTGGAGCTTTTCTTTAATGGTGATGGGTTATGACTTAACTAGTCGTACTTTGATGGATTCACCTCCGCAAAGGGTTGATAAGTACAACTAGAGGCATGGTAGAGTAGTGCATATTAAACTGCACAAGTGGGCATGTAGTGTCCAAACTCACCGATCCAAAAGTTACACCTGAGGCCAATGGTTGGTGCCATTGGATTGTGTAATTGGTTTGTTTGCTTTACTTACATTTGAGTTTAATAAGTTGTTGCTATTAAATGGTGTAAGCTAAAGTTTGTGGCCTAGCTATTCATCCTACTTTGGTCTACTTGCCCCCGTGAGAGGTCAAATTAGGAATGATGGGATTTCGGCCCACTAGGAAGACCAACAGGCATTCCCGAGTTTAATAGTGAGGGCTACTAGCTTGAGTAAAATAATGAGAGCATATTAATGGATAAAAGGCCTTATTAATTAATAGAAGATTAGTAACTCTATAAAATTTGTACTAGTAGAAATCCATTTAGTGAGTTGACGCCCATAGCGATCGATCCTCAAAAGGGAACATGCTGGATGGTAGTAATTTTACAAAGATGTATTGATTGTACTTGAAGTCTGAAAGATAATTATACCATTGGGCAAGCTCTGCCTCAAGAGCAAGGTGATGACATCACCTAGGAATAACAAGATGGATAAGGGTGCCAAAGTTGGTCCTCATATACTTAACATGATCGGGTATATCGAGAGATTTGAGACTTTGGGTTCTAGTTTGGACAATGACTTAGTAATCTTGAAGTCCTTAATTGATTCTCAGTTCATATATAATATGAACATTAATGAGAGGTCCTTCCCTGAGCTCGTTTAAGGACTATAATATGAACATTAATGAGAGGTCCTTCCCTGAGCTCGTTTAAGGACTATAGAGAAAAGGGTTGAAGCCAGCAGTGATAGTAGTCACTAACACTGATAGAGGGGTGGACAAGAGTAAGGGTGAGGCTAACACCAAATCCAAACTCAAGTCCAAACCTTAGGATGCTCTTAAGTTTGTATGTGATGTCAGAGTGGAAGGTAGTTTTCTTTTATTGTGGCATGCCTGACCACTGGAGGAAACATTACGAGGGCCTTCCTAGCAAGTAAGCAAGAAGAATGCATCTTCTTCGTCAAGTATGAATTTATCTTCTGTTACATCTTTGGTCATCGACAGTTGATGTGGTTCTCACATTTTCCTAAATGTGCTAGAACTGAGGCAAGGTAGAGCGCTCAGTCTAGGAGATGGCTTTAATCAAACATACTTATGGCATTGTAGGCTTGGTCATGCGAACCAGACTCACATAGCAAAACTCCACAAGGATAGAGTTTTGGATCCATTTGAGTTTAAGTCTTATGAGGTATGCAAGTCATGCCTAGTAAGCAAAATGACCAACCCACCTTTTACTGGAAACAGTGAAAAGGGTAAGGGAACTATTAGACATCATCCATAGTGATGTATGTGGACTGTTAACAATACAAGCCAGAGGTGGATATTCTTACTTCATCACGTTTATTGATGACCTCAGTAGATTTGGATATGTCTACTTTATGAGACATAAGTCTAAATCATTTGACAAGTTCAAGGTATTCCAGAACAAAGTATAAAATCAATTAGGCAAGAATATCAAGATTCTCTAATCTGATAGGGGAGGAGAATACTTGAGCTTAGAGTTTGATGCATACCTAAAGGAATGTGGGATTATATCTCAACTCACACCTCCTTATACACCTCACTAGTGGATAAGACGCTATATGAAATGTGGAACGGGCGAAAACCCATTTGTCTCATCTAAGAGTTTGGGGTTGTGACTCTTATGTCAAGAAATTGACTTCGAACAAACTTGACTCAAAGTCAGAGTAACGTCTCTTTGTGGGGTATCCTAAATAAACAATCAAGCTGAGTAGAAGGTTTTCGTGGTCGAACAGGAGTCTTCTTAAAGAAGATTTCCTTCTGAGAGAAGATGGTCTTAGAAAGGTAGAACTTAATAAAGTTCTAGATCCATAGGATGCATCAAACGACGGACAAGATGATATGCCATTAGAGATGGTTGAGCATCATGAGGAGATTGCTCCACAGAGAGTGGAACAAAGCAAACCTCCAACACAAGAGCCACGTAAGTCTGCGAGAATACGTCATGAGCCTCAGAGGTATGGTTTGCTCGTGACTCAAAGTGTTGACGTATTGGTCTATCAAGACAATGAGCCCAGAACCTACAATGTCGCTTTGTCATATCCAGATTTCACAAAATAGCTTCAGCCATGAAATCTGAAATGGACTCCATGTACTAAAACGAAGTATGGGATTTGGTAGATCCACCCAAAGGGGTCAAACCCATAAGGTGTAAATGGGTCTTTAAAAAAAAGATTGACATGGATGAGAATGTTCAAACCTATAAGGCATGGCTGGTTGCAAAAGGTTTCAAACAAAAGCATGGAATTGACTATGATGAAACATTTTCTCCAGTAGCAATGCTAGTCTATTAGGATTATGCTAGCTATTGCTACCTACCTTAACTATGAAATTTTGTAGATGGATGTCAAAACTGCTTTCCTAAATGGAAACCTTGAAGAGGACGTCTATATGACGCAATGATGCGTTGTTACTACAACATGCAAATATAGCAAGTGCACTAGTCGCACAAAGTAATAAAGTGATAAGTGAGTATCGTTCCCACGAGGATTGGTTGTTAAGCACTGATTTTCCTAATTGTTTTCAAGTTGGAGAAACCGAAAAGAGTTTGGATTGACCAGAGTAAATTAAACTAAATTGGAAACAAAATTTACTAATTAATTAAAATGCTAATTAATGAAAACAAGAATAAAGCAAGAGTAATATCAAGTAATGCAAACAGTTAGGGTTTTGACTTCGTTAGGACTCTATGAATTAACCTACAAATTATGCTACTTCTACACCCACATGCACGTATTATAACTCGGACTCCCTAATGTGTAAAACATACCTTCTCAGGCTATGTTTTCCTACTTTTCCCTATTAAGCCTCCACACCCAACATTTTGAAGATTAATAGATCCAAGTTCATTAAGCTAATGGAATCCTAAATAGAATTCATTGATTCTCAAACCTATCTATAGCGTTCGAAACAGCAATGTTGATTATCCTAGGAAGCTCATACATGATTCATTTCTCAATCTCATCATGTTCAACAAATAAATTCAGTAAAAACCAGAATAAACAAACAACCCTTGCAATAGAATGTAGAAATAACACTAATTCATTGATTAAACATAGAAATCTCAAACTACATCAAAACCCTAACCCAAGATGAGTTAGTTCATAATGAAATTAACACCAATCGAAATAAAAACAATGAGCAAAGTATTCAACATATTGATACAAAGAAAAGAGATAAAGATCTTCCCTATTTGATGAATCCACAAAGTTCAATCTCAATCTTCTCTCCTTTTCTCTTAAAAAAATGTTAAACTCTTTCCCAAAGTGACGAACTCTAGACCCTAAAAATGGCTAAGTTTTTCTTAAATAGTCAGTTCAAAAACCTAAAAACTTGCCTAAAATAAAACTGTGCGTTTTAATAAAAACTGAAAAATCGCAGACTTTGCCGCGGCAAAGAAAAAGCTTTGCTGCTACAACGAATTCCCGAGAGTACATCGCCGCGGTGAAGATTATTCTTCGCCACGACAAACCTTGTTGAACAATAATCTTCACCACGGCGAACCTTGTTGAACAATTCTAAAATTACATAATTGCCCTCTACTTGCTTCCTTGCTCAAATCTTCAATCTTCAATACTCTCCAATGGAAGCAAGCTTCATAGTGCTTCAAATCCGCTTCAGAACTTCCCCAAATTCTAAGACTCGCTCGCTTTTGGGTCCAGAAACTCAATTATGCTCTTTATTTGCTCAAAATGCATGTTTCGGCCTAAAACATAAAACATATGAAATTAAGTTGTAATTAAGGCAAAAACGACATAAGAAGTATCCAAAATCGAGCCAAAAAGCCTCAATAAAATAGTATAATCCTCGGATTATCATGCAACCCGTTGGTTTTGTTCTTGATGGACAAGCAGGGAAGGTATGCAAGTTGAAGATATCTATTTATGGACTCAAGCAAGCATCAAGGAGTTGGAACATTCGTTTTGACGAATCTGTAAAGAAATTCGGGTTTGTACAAGATGAAGACGAGCCTTATGTATGTAAGGAAATCAGTTGGACCGTAGTGGCATTCTTAGTATTGTATGTCGATGACATAGTGATCATTGGGGATTATATACCGAACTTGAAAATGGTAAAAACTTGGTTATCCAAGTGCTTCTCGATTAAGGACTTAGAGGAAACAACCTACATCCTTGGTATAAAGATCTATCATGATAGATCTCGTAGGTTGCTGGGCCTAAGTCAAAGTACATACGTTGATAAAGTACTAAAAAGATCCAGTATGGAAGATTAAAAAAAAAAGGTTATCTTGCAACGTCACAAGGCATGTATCTCTCTAAGGATATGTGTCCTAAAATACAAGAGGAGAGAGATAAGATTGGAGGTATTCCTTATGCTTTGGCAGTAGCATCCATTATGTACGCCATGTTATGTATTAGGATTGATGTTTCATATGCCTTGAGAATTTATAGTAGATATCAATCAAATCTAGGTGAAACACACTGGACAACAGTCAAGAACATACTTAAGTACCTTAAGAGGACTAAGGGTATGTTCTTGGTCTATGGAGGAGAAGATGATCTCACTGTAAGAAGATATAGTGATGCTAGTATTCAAACTGACAAGGATGACTATCAATCGCAGTCAGGTTATGTGTTCTATCTTAATGAGGCTATAGTGAGCTGGAAAAGTTCAAAACAAAGCATTGTAGTGGATTGTAAAATGGAAGCTGAGTGCATCGCATTGGGTGATGCGGCCAAAGAAGCTATTTGGATAAAAAAATTTGTGACTAAATTAGAGGTTGTTCCGAGCATTGTTGATCCAGTTGTGCTTTATTGTGACAACAATGGTACCATAGCTTAGGCTAAAGAACCACGATCTCACCCACGATCAAAACATATACTTTGGTGATAACATCTCGTTGGAGAAATTGTGAAGAGAGGTGATGTGCAAATCAACAGAGAACATACTGAGGATAATATTGCAAACCCATTTATGAAAGCTCTATTGCAGTAGAAGCATGATAAGCACATATCATAATTTGGGATCAAATGTATGAATGATTGGCTATAGTGCAAGTGGGAGATTATTAGAGTAGGTTTCCTAGAGCCAGCATTTTAGCTCTTGTAAACTCATTTTAATAAATGAATAAAAGGCATCGCTTATTTGTGAGCATATATACTATAGCATCTATTTACTGTGTGTAAAGAAAATAGTACATGTCCTTAGAAAGGTTGAAATCAATGACGAGGGAATTAAATGTTATAAATCTTAATTGTGAGAACCCTATGAGCACAAATGGTGGCCCTTCTTAAACTGTCCATAGTCATAATATAAATTTGACCAAGGATATAGATTATATGAGAGACTATCATTGCGTTGAATGACCCCATCGGAAGGTAGTGATAGATCTCACTTGTCAAGGTTGTGGGCATCAACCTAGTGCAATGCATGGGTCCTTACTTGTACAAGTCCACTAGATTGACCTATCAGAGGATTCCACACAAGATGGTAAACTCAGTGTCTGTGGTCCTTCGACTTGAGATCACCAGAGTGCCATGTGTGAGTATCAATGTGATTTGACTCCAACCTAATGTCGTCTCTCTTTGGGATTACTAGAACGGTGGTGATTAGTTACATCGAGAAGTACACTATGGCTGTGGTGGATCAACAAAGGATTTATCACTTTTGGTTACAGGAGATCTTATGTCAACGAGATATTTGGTTAAGAACTATGACCTCAAATCCGTGGCCACGGTGGAATCGAGTTGGTGCTTGAATCCAATTTTATAGTCATCAGATTCAAGAACCAAATATAAAACATATCAAGGTAGCATTTTGAGGTAGACACTATTTCTGTACCTTAAACCTTGGTGAGATATAAGATGGTGAAATGGATCGAATTGTATGGCAACCATACTGTAGAAAAGGTAAGCCTAAATCGCTGATTTTTTACTAGGGAATCATGATGCGTTGCTAGAAGTCAATCTTGATTGGTGACGAAAACACTGATTGCTTGATGTTTAATTAGTTATCGAGACACTGCCAGCAATGTAAAGAGCTTTCAGGTCACACACATAGAAGGTAGTTAAGTGAGAAATGGAAATGGAAGGACAATCTTGTCCTTGCACCAAAAAGGGTGTTTCAGTAATTTGGGAGTCCACTGGCATTTTCATCATTATGGGCGAAAAGGACACTTTGGTAATTTTGCTAAGGGGTTGACGCCATTATCCAATTTATTGCGAGAATTTTTAGCAAAATTGGAATCATATTAATTTTAATTAATATGAAGAATATATATTTAATTTAATGAAATATATATTAAAACTCATATATATTAAATATGATAAATATATATGGATTAAATAAATAGTAATATTTATTTAATTATAGTATGTATTTATATAGGAATTAAATAAATAGGAATATTTTTTTAATTAGGATTCATATTTAAAGAGAATATCTTTAATAGATATTTTAATCCCTTATATTAAGGATTACAATCCAATTCAAATAGGAATTAAAGGACTGTAATCCAATCCAAATAGGAATTAAGGATTTACAATTCTTATTGGATTCTTATTTGGGATTGCCTATATAAAGGGTTATTGAGTTTTGATTTAGAAGAGCAATTCCCATCAAGTTAATTTTGCAAATTGAATAGCAAAATTAATTCTCCCAAAAACCCTAGTCGCCGCCAACCCTAGAGAGATAATTTTCTCTCTAATTTCTGCCAACTCCCTTAAATCCTTTGTTGGTCTAGCAATCAATCCTAGGGTGATCTCGAGCCTACTTTCGTGTGGATACCATGATGCTCGATCCAACTTTAGATTGACAATGAAGTACCCGTGAATAGTACCCTATGAACAGTGTTAGTGAATAGTACCTCATGAACAATGATGATGAACAGTATGCAAACAGTGATGGTGAACAATATTGAAAATTCTAATCTAGAGAAAGAGCTGCCAACGGGAGGTAAAAATACTATCATTGTATGGTTTAATCTAAATATATTGTAGATTAATTTATCGAATCGTGATCTTGGGGTATTGCCATGGCCAGAAATTTTTTTTGTTATTCCGTGCTTGCCATGACACGATTCCTACAAACCAAGCCTTTCAAGATAAGGTATACCAATTCTACTCCCTAGATTGGACATTGAGTCGGAAACATGCCTCCTCCTCTCACCTCCCCGTTTATCCCAGATAATTGTTCACCACCTCGGATCATGGAACCTTAAAAACCCAATCCCACCTCCACTTAGCTCCAACGACCACAATGAAGCTAGCCGAGCCGACCCAAGCCAAGACCACTCAAGCCATCACTCTCTCGGCCATTGAAACACTAATCCAAACGACGTTGCTCCAACAATACCAACTGAACACGCCCTTCACCCTCCCACAAACACAACCCTTGTATTCGATAGCTGGTCCATCCCACCATTCACTCCCGTTCGGCTCTGCCATGCACATCAACACCAATGTGTTCCCTCATCTTCAAAACACAAGCCTCTACACCCCCATGGCAACCGCCCTTGAGGAAGCCTTAGCCAAGCAATTATTTGAGATGGAAGCCATGATCCAATGCATCCCTAGCATGCCCACACCCCTTAAGAAAAGCCAACCCCAAAGCTGTAGGGTTTTAATTCAATAAAGTGTGGAACAATAAACAAAAAAATTATTCGAAACCTTTAATTCCAGATCATAGATTGATGTTAATAGCCCATTTAAATCAAACATATACATAAGATTAAATAAACGTTATAATCAAATATCAATTGGAGGCTCCTTCGGTGTTGTAAAAAACGCTACCACTTCAACAGGAGAAGTGCACGAATGAAAATCCACACAAAGACAAGAATCCCCACATGATCGATTTGCTAGCTTGAGAATGGAGGTTCAAAGAAGAAAAAGGGAAGAAAATTTTCTTAGAAAACTTCTCTCTACAACTTTTAGCTTGGGAGGCAAAAATTGGCTTATGAGGAAATAAGGGTTTGGGCCTCTTTTTATAGGCAAACCCTAACCCTAATGTCCTTTGTGATATTACAAGAATACCCTTACTAATATCTACTATTTATAAATAAATAATTAGACTTTACTTAGTGCCCAAGAAAAAGTCGATTTCGTATTTTATTATTATGGTTCAATTATACAATAACAATTCACTATTTAAAATGTATATACACCAATATATAAATTTAAATAATGATTATTTATTATAATATATATATATAATATATAATATATTTAAATAATTATGTAATCTTACTAATTAAATCCAATATCAAATTGGACATAGGTGACAACCATTTAGGCAACAACCTTCTAGCAATTTAATTGCACCATAAGGATTACCAAAATACCCTTTCGTCCTGAAATGACAAAGTTTCCCTTATTCCAAATCTTTTTTAATTTGTCTTTTAAGTGTGTAACCTGTAGGCTCCTTATCATATCGGTAGTGGGTAATATCATAATTGACAATCAATCAATTGTCTATTATACACAAATTAAGATTGGCCTATAGCTAGGCATCATGGCCACTTGATAGATTCGGGTTCAGCTCATCAGCTACTTGTCAAAGGTATGGTTACCTTGCAGTTAAATCCTTTCATCAACTATTATCTCATCAAGGTTTGAAGTACATACATAATGTCAACTTCAAATATACTACCTTGACCTGTTTGTATCTGGTAATTCAAACTAACGACTTGATAAAATCAAAATTGAGCACTAACTCAATTCCACTGTGGCCACAGTATTGTGGTCGTTGTCATTTACCAAATTACTCAGGGAGATAAATTCTCTTATACCCAAGAGTGATGAATCATTTGTTGATTCACTATAGCCATGATGTACTTCTCAATGTAGCCAATCACTTACGTACTAATAACACTAAATATGGCCACGTTAGGCTAGCGTCAAACTATGATCTCGAGTCTAAGGATCATATGCATCACCATCCATTAGAGGATATATTCCAAACATATTAGGGTTAGCATCTATATGAAATCGTCTGGAGGGTCAGTCCAGTGAACTTGCCAACCGCAGGCACCCATGTGTTGTACCAAGTTGTCACCAAAAAACTTCAACATGTAAGATTTGTTACTATCTTTCGGTATGGTCAATGCTATGATAGGCTTACTGTATTATCTATGCCTTAGTTAGAATAATATTAGGGCTTTGGATGTTTTTAGAATGGCCACCAAATGTGCTCATAGGGATCTCACAATCAAGGCTTATTACCGCTTGATTCCCTCGTCATGGTTCAACCATTCTGCGGACATATGTTATAACATATATGAAATATGATTTACATAATATAGAGATTTCTTTTATTAATATCAACATGTTTTACAAGTAGTCACTTACTACAATTGGATTGGCTCTAGGGCACCTACCTTAACAATCTCCCACTTGTACTATAGCCAATAATTCATGTATTTAATACTGTATGATGCTAAGTGTTTATCATGCTTCTGCTATGACAAAGCTTTCGTTAGTGGGTCTGCAATGTTGTCCTTAGTAGGAATTTCGCAGATATGTACATCGCCGCTTTGGATAATCTCTCGGATGAGATGGAAGCGTCTAAGTATATGTTTAGATCGCTGATGAGACCTTGGTTCCTTGGCTTGAGCAATAGCACCAGTATTGTCGTAGTACAACTCTACTAGATCAACTATGGTTGGAACCACTTTAGGTTCAGTAATGAACTTCTTGATCCAAACTGCCTCTTTAGCCGCATCAAACAAAGCAATATACTCAACTTCCATTATAGAATCCGCTATAATGGCTTGCTTGGAGCTCTTCCAACTCACTACAACATTGTTGAGACAGAACATGTACCTGATTGCCATTTAAAATCAT